CTCTCCCACCCAAACACACAAAAATAGTAAAACTGCCTAGACTCTACAGGTACTCCTTTCATCTCTTTTTTTTTTTTCTCTCATTTTTAAATGAAAGTTATAAAATTGCTGTCCCAATTTTCCTAGCTATTTCTTAACCTACCTGAATATAGACTTCTCACCTCCCCTTTCTTCCCCTCAGAACTTCGTTAAATCTTTTCTTGCTAAGGTCTTCTGCCAAAGACATTCATGATGCTAAATATACCAGACCATTTCCAATCTTTTTTTAGCCTGACCACTTGGCAGCATTTGGCATTGCTAACCACAATTTCTCTTTTTTTTTTTTTTTTTTGAGACGGAATTCTGCTCTTGTTGCCCAGGCTGGAGTGCAATGGCGCCATCTCAGCTCACTGAACCTCCGCCTCCCGGTTTCAAGCGATTCTCCTGCCTCAACCTCCAGAGTAACTGGGATTACAGGTGCCTGTAACCACACATGGCTAATTTTGTATTTTTAGTAAAGATGGGGTTTCTCCATGTTGGTCAGGCTGGTCTCGAACTCCTGGCCTCAGGTGATCCTTGGCCTCCCAAAGTGCTGGGATTACAGGCATGAGCCACTGCACCTGGCCCACACCCTCTGTTTTGAAACACTCTCCTTTCACGGCCTTATTGATATCATACTCTTCCAGTTTTCCATCTTTCTTCAGCTGCAGTACTCAGTCCTTTCAGCTTCTTCCTTTTCAACTCAATCCATAAACATTGATACTTTTTAGGTAAAAAGTCTTACACTCTCTTCTATTCTGACCCTATAGAATAGGAGTCCCAAACTCAAATGCCTTTAGGCACTAAGCAAATAAGGAAAATGAATTAAGATAGCTGAGTCCAAAACATTAGAAACTGGTGGGGATTGTAGTGAACTGGACAGCTCAAATGCTATATAGAAAAAGGTTCTCCATTTGGTTAAATTCAATTGCTGTAAAAGAAGAGCGGCCCTATATACTGGAATTTCCAAAAAGCCCATTTTTTGTATAATTTCTTCATCTTAAGAAACATCATGGCCAGGCACGTGGCTCACGCCTGTAATCCCAGCACTTTGAGAGGCGGAGGCAGGTGGATCACCTGAGATCAGAACTTCGAGACCAGCCTGGCCAACATGGCAAAACTCTATCTCTACTACAAATACAAAAAATTAGCCAGGCAGTGGTGGCGGACTGTGTGAATAGTAACGATTATGATACTATTTAATTTAACTTATGTGTTATTTATTTATTTATTTGAGATGGAGTCTCGCTCTGTCACCCAGGCTGCACTGCAGTAGTGTGATCTCGGCTCACTCACTGCAAGCTCTGCCTCCCAGGTTCATGCCATTCTCCTGCCTCAGCCTCCCAAGTAGCTGGTACCACAGGAGCCCGCCACCATGCCTGGCTATTTTTTTTGTATTTTTAGTGGAGATGGGGTTTCCCTGTGTTAGCCAGGATGCTCTCGATCTCCTGACCTCATGATCTGCCTGCCTCAGCCACCCAAAGTGCTGGGATTACAGGCGTGAGCCACCGCGCCCAGCCTATTTTTTTTTTTTTTGAGACGGAGTCTGGTTCTGTGGCTCAGGCTGGAGTGCAGTGGCACGGTCTCGGGCTCACTGCAATCTCCGCCTCCCGAGTTCAAGCGATTCTCTTGCTCAGTCTCCCGAGTAGCTGGGATTACAGGCGCATGCCACCACACCCACCTAATTTTTGTATTTTTAGTAGAGACGGGGTTTCACCATGTTGGTCAGGCTGGTCTCAAACTCCTGACCTCGTGATCCACCCACCTCGGACTCCCAAAGTGCTGGGATTACAGGCATGAGCCACCACGCCCAGCTGATGATAATATTTTAAAACACCAATTCAATCTACAAGCTGCTAGCCTATCACCCCTGCAGACTCTCTTTAAACAATCCCATCTATTCTTAACACTTCAATATTCCTTCTATGCTGTAAACTTGCAAATCTCTATCTCTACTGTTAGTCTTCTTCCCTAAACTATATGTAGGCCCATATATCCAAGGGCTTCTAACATCATCTCCTTATAATAACACCTCTCGTTCCATCCTCTCTCCCCATCAAGCTCCGCCAGTTGTATTTCCTAGTTTGGTAGATGGTACCAACAATCTACAGGCTCAAGCCAGAAATCCAGGAGCCATCTTTGAGTATTCCTTCTCCCTTGTCACCAATATATCCAGCAATATTTATTTAGTATCTATGGCATGCTTTATAGCCAATGTTGGTTCTACCTCTAGATTTTTTTTTTGAGACAGGGTCTCACTCTGTTGCCCAGCCTGGAGTGAAGTGGCACCATCTCAGCTCACTGCAGCCTCAACTTCCCTAAGCTCAAGCAATCCTCCCACCCCAGCCTTCTAAGTAGCTGGAACAACAGGTGCACACCATCACTAATTTTTTTGTATTTTGTAGAGACGATGTTTCACCATGTCACCCAGGCTGGTCTTGAACGCCTGGGCTCCAGCGATCCTCCCCGACTGGGCCTCCCAAAGTGCTGGAATTACAGGCCTGAACCACTGCGCCCAGCCTATCTCTAGATTCTGACCAGCTCTCTAGTTCCATTTTCCCCTATGGTTTCATCTACATTACTAACAGTCTCCCAATTGATCTCTACTCCTAGCAGCTTTTCCCATTTAATCTGTTCTCCACACTAAGGCTAGAATTATCTCTTTAAAAAGCAAACATTAGGATGTCACCATACGTCAAGGCTTCCCCTTGCAAAAAGAAAATCTAACATCTTCAACACTGTTTATAAGGCACCCTTGTGCGTCCAGCAACATTCTTTCAGTTTCCTGAATGCTATAATCCTGGTGCCTTTGCATGTGCTATACTTTTGGCTAAGAACACTTAGACTTCACATCACTTAAAAACATTATTTTGTTTTAATACAGATGGGGTCTCGCTATGTGCCCAGGCTGGCCTCAAACTTCTGGGCTCAACAACTCCTCCCCAACTCCGCCTCTCAAAATGCTGGGATTACAAGCATGAGCCACCGCACCCGCCCATATCTCTTCTTACAGGTCAACTGGCTTTCCTTGACACCGAGTTACTTTGTTCTTCAGGTGTTGCAAAACTCATCAGTAAGCACCTAGGCAATTAGTGTTCAAAATATCTATGGACTCTACGACTTAAGATTCAGAAAGGCAGAAACCACATGTACCTTGTTCACAGCTCGATTTCTCAGTGCCTAGTACTAGGATTCTCAATACATGTCTGTTGAAATAATGATTACATTTTTAGCATATAGCTATTTGAGTTCCTCCCTAATCCCAATTCTCAAGTTCTTTGAGAGAGAAAAAAATAAATCTCAATTATAGAATTATCCTCAAAATTTATTTATATATATTTCTTTGGAGGAATCAAGGAAGCAGTCACATGCAGCTGACTGTGGGTCACTGGACTTTTTTTTTTTTAGACGGAGTCTCGCGCTGTCGCCCAGGCTTAAGTGCAGTGGCACTACCTCGGCTCACTACAATCTCCACCTCCCTGCTTCAAGCTGTTCTCCTGCCTCAGCTTCCCAAGTAGCTGGGATTACAGGCGCCTACCACCACGCCCGTATAATTTTTGTTAGTAAAGACGGGGTTTCGCCATGTTGGCCAGGCTGGTTTCGAACTGCTGACGTCATGTGATCCGCCCGCCTAGGCCTCCCAAACTGTTGGGATTACAAGCGTGAGCCACCGCGCCCGGCCTGGATTCTTTAATGGAGTGGGGAAGGTCTGCAGTAAGGGGATCCGGTGTAAATAATTCTGAGCAGCCCCAGGTCCTGAGCCCAGCAAACACGTGCTGCGGCCGGGCGCGGGGAGGGCGCGCTTCGCCGAGGAAGATCCCGGGCGGCCCGAACGTGCTCGCGCCCGTCGTTGCCGCTGCGGCGCCGCGGCCGCCCGGGTGCCCAACCGAGCGCACGTGCGCCAGCGGGCCCGAGCAGAAGGGGAGCCCCTATTCTCACGAAGAAAATGGAGGACGAGCCACGGGTTAGGGGTCAGGAAAGGTGTGGGGCGCATTATGCCCTGGGAGGGGAAAGCAGGGAACAAGAGGCTCTGAGGGGCCGAGAGGAAGGAGGACGGCCCACGAGCTAGGTAAGGCGGGTCGACCGAGGTCTCGGAAGGAAGGGGGCGGGGCAGGACGGGGCGGAAGGGGCCGCGCAGTAGCTGGGTTGAGGACGGTTGGCGTGTTCATTCTGGGCTCGGGTCGGGAAGTGTCCGCCCCTGAAGTCAAGCTAGGGAGGGTGAGAGGTGGAAGGGCGGCGACTTATGTTCCCAGTTTCTGGCACTGCCAGGCCCTCCACGAGCTCAAATCGACCGCAGCCCAGTTCCTTCTCAGAGCTCAAGTCCTTGCCTTTCTTGAGCGCCAAATCCCCGCGCTGGGCCCCGCCCATCCACTGAGGGGTGTGGACAGGGGCGTGGCCCGTTCCTTTGCTGGTCGGCGCCCGGAAGGCGTCTGCGTCAGCCGGAGCTTGACGTGGTGACGCTGTGCGTCGACGTAAGTGACGCGCAAGCCTGGGCCGCTCCTCCTTCCCTCAGTGAGTGCCGGCCCGGTCGGGGCGGGGGAGAAGAGGGAGGGCGGGGGAGGGAGAGGCGACCCGAGAGTCGTTGTGGGTCGCGGGCCGGACCGGGTCCCGGGGCGGCGGGAGCCCCGGCCGGGCAGAAGGGCTTGGCGGGCCGTTAGAGGGCCGCCACCGCTGTCGAGTCCCCTCCCTTGTTGGACTTGCGCGCCCCGGCGCTTGGAGCCTCCGGCGCTGTGCCCACCCCGCTCCAGCTCGCGTCTCCCGACTCCAATTAGGTCAGGCTCGGAGTCCCGCGGCCGCGACTCCGGCCCCTAACGCGCCGCGGCCGCTCGGCTCGCCTTTCTTCCCTCGCCTTCTCTCCTCTTGCTTCACCCTCCCCCTTTCTTTTCACGTTGCTGGGTTTTTTTGTTGTTGTTTTATGCTTTAGGGGTTTTGTTCCTCGGCCCGAGCTCATGGGTGTATATTATCATGCTCTTCTTTTGTAGAGCAGCCCGATGGCCATGGAGGCTGAAGAGACGATGGAATGCCTTCAGGAGTTCCCTGAACATCATAAAATGATCCTGGACCGATTGAATGAACAGCGAGAGCAGGACCGCTTTACTGACATCACCCTAATTGTCGACGGTGGGTAGGGCAGTGGGCAGAGGAGCATTTTTGGCTTCAGTTTTTTTCTGTCCTTCGGACACCCGCCTTTGTTTTTGTTTTTGTTTTTAAAAAAAAAAACCACATTTTCTATGGTCTCCCTACCAAAGCCTGCAGACCAGATTGCACTTGTCAGTGTCCACTCTCACAGAGCGTGCTGCAGAAGACTGGTTGATCAGTCACGCTTTCCACGTAGTCTGGTGTTCATCTCATTTTAACTTCTTACATCCTGTTGAGTGCAAGATGATGGCGTTGGGGACAGGATGTCTCAAAATGTTTGGTTGATAGCCTCTTGTTGGTAAGCTTCTTTGAGAAGTCCCTCACAGGAGTCATTTGGGAAGTGTTGATTTATAGTTTCCCAAATGGTCTAAAAGGGAGAAGGAGAGAGATTCCTTTGCAGCACTCATACCCCCTTTGACAATCTCCAAAATAAAATAGGGTCTTTACCAATCTTAGAAGTTGTCTCTATAATAAAAGGAAATCCAGCTTGTGTATGTTTTCTGTTTAGTGAAAATAGGTTTCTCAAGGTAAGCTGTTTTTAAAATTATGGGTCTGCCATAGATGGAGCCTCCAAATATTAGGCATATTAAAATGTTTTTCATAGCAGACATATCCAGCTTTGTGTTTATGGCTTTTTTCTCTTTTTCCAAATGATATGTGACCTTTTAAAGGGTTGTCCTTTTATTTAGCAGTTTCAACTGAGTTGGATATGCCTCTCACTGCTTAATTGGAAATAACAAAGTGGCAAGAGGCTCCTTACCTAGCGTTGTAAATTAGCCTTTATAAAACTAAAGGGATTTGAAGTGAAGTTTTAGCTTCCTATCTAATTGAGATTAACATTTGCCAAGATAGCTGCCAAGAATATTCTGCATTGAGTTCAATAATTTATATAGTTATGTAATGAAGGAAAACCTATTTTTTGTTTTATATGATTTTTCAGTCTTTTATATAGTTATACATTTGATTTTCGTGCTTGTGTATTATTTTCTTTCTTTTTTAATTTTACCTAGGACACCATTTTAAGGCTCACAAGGCTGTTTTGGCTGCTTGTAGTAAGTTCTTCTACAAATTCTTTCAGGAGTTTACCCAAGAACCTTTGGTGGAGATAGAAGGTAAGTGATTGTTTATTTTTTATTTTTTGTTTAATAAATCAAAGAAACCATTTTATTTAAATACTGGTTTTAAATACAATACTTAGCAAACAATTGGTGAAGCAGTTTTAGACAGTTTATTAAGACACCATAGGAAATAGGCATCAGTAGTTCTATAGGTAAAGGTAGATAAATTGTTCTTTTGATACCTGAGAAGTCTTACTTTCAGTGAAGTGCTTGGTTGAATAATCTGCCAAGAAAAACTTAGATGGTAAGTGTTGGTCTTTTCCATTGTGGAAACTGGTGGTCATTGTCTTTTGAATTACCGTCTTTGTTCAGTGGGTTTATGTTTCAGACCGGTGGAGATGCTGCAGGTTACAGTAGAAACTTCTACTGTACTCTGTAGCAGAAGTAGTGATGTAGTAGCAGAGGTACAGATGACATGCACAGTGTGAAATGGGCTGCCATAATAGGAAGAAAGCTAGTTAAAATGAACTGAAGTAGTGTTCAGAGGAAATTCTGGCTCTACAATGGGGTGGATCAATACCTGTTACCTTGAAGCAAAAAGTGATTTTTGTACTTTCTAAACATTTTTCTAATAACCTGCCAAGTGCCAGGCATTGTAATATGTAGTTTGTGTATTGTCTAATTGCTCACAGCAATCCTTTGATGTTGGGCATGATGGTTTTTGCTTGTAGTCCCAGCTATTTGGGAGGCTGAGGCAGGAGGATTGCTTGAGCCCAGGAGTTCAAGGCCAGCCTAGGGCAACATAGACCCTGTCTTTTCTTTCTTTCTTTCTTTTTTTTTTTTTTTTTTTTTAAAGGGAAATGGTGTTACATTTACACTTCAGGAAAGAGACTCTAAAAGGTTACTTGCCCAGGGTTGCCCAACTAGCAAGGAATTAAGTTTGTGCTATTAATTACCATGCTTTTTCTTCTGCTACTGCAGTAACTCTTCTCCTACCACCGGCATCAAAATCCAAAACAGTAGGAAATAAATCTGTTTGCTTATGTAATTACAAAATTTTAGCTTCTTTTAGGGTTCTTGGATTTTGGTTTTGTATCTATTTCATCGTGTATGTATTCTTTGTTCTGAATGGGTTGCCTAGAAACATGCTTTTTTTCCCTTTGATGCCTAGAGGAGTAAAGAAAACAAAAAAGAGTTAAGAATATTCTTTAATTTTGGTATGTTCCAGTTTAGCATTATAGCTGATATATTTGCAGCTAGATTATCTTTTAATATCTATGATCAGGACAGAGATATAATTATGGAAATCCACAAAACTTAATAAAGTGAGAATCTGACTGCCCAGATGATAGTGGTTTCTACTACAAAGTAAGCCTCCATGAATTCATTCACACCTGAGGCTTATTAAATATGTGACCTCAGGCAGGTTACTTTACCTCAATTGCATGCTTTTCTCCTCATCTGAAAAGTGGGTTCATAGGCTTATAAAGACTAATTGTGATAACATGCAGAATGCCTGGCATAATACTTGGTGTATTGTCAAAGTTTAACAAAACAGGGACCGGCCTAGGAAACATTAGGGAGACCGCTTCTCTACAAAAAATTTTAAAAATTATTAGCTGAGTCTGATGGCATATGCCTGTGGTCCCAGCTATTCAGGAGACTGAGGTGGGAGGATTGCTGGGACCCAGGAGGTCAAAGCTACAGTGAGCCATGATTTTGCCACTGCACTGTAGCCTGGGCGACAGAGCAAGGCCCTGTCTCAAAAAAAAAAAAAATATATCGTATTGAATACCTATATTATGTACTATGTTAGACCCTGGAGCTGAAGAATTAATGAATAAGATATCCCTTAAAGAAGTCAGAAAATTCCATAGCAGGTGAGCAACAGGCAAATAAAGGAGTTTAAAAAGTATTACAAAGACTATTACTGTGAAATGGTATCACTGAAGAGGGAGAATGAATGATTTGGTCTTCCTTAGAGAGGAAAGATTTCAAAGAGGAGAGTCTGAGCAGAATTTTTTTTCCTTTTTTTTTGGAGATGGATTTTAGCTCTTTTTACCCGGGCTGGAGTGCAATGATGTGATCTTGGCTCATCGTGACCTCCACCTCCCAGGTTCCAGCGATTCTCCTGCCTCAGCCTCCCGAGTAGCTGGGATTATAGGCACGTGCCACCATGCCCAGCTAATTTTGTATTTTTAGTAGAGATGGGGTTTCTTCATGTTGGTCAGGCTGGTCTTGAATTCCCCACCTCAGGTGATCCACTCGCCTCTTCCTCCCAAAGTGCTGGGATTACAGGCGTGAGCCACCGTGACTGGCCGAGTCTGAGCAGAAATTTTAAGTCTTAAAAAACAAGTGGCCTAGCCGGGTGCGGTGGCTCACACCTGTAATCCCATCACTTTGGGAGGCCGAGGGTGGGCAGATCACCTGAGGTCAAGAGTTGGAGACCAGCCTCACCAACGTGGTGAAACCCCGTCTCCACTAAAAATATACAATTAGCCGGGCGTGGTGGCGGGCACTTGTAATCCCAGCTACTCAGGAAGGCTGAGGCAGGAGAATCGCTTGAACCTGGGAGGCAAAGGTTGCGGTGAGCCAAGATCACGCCATTGCACTCCAGCCTGGGCAACAAGAGTGAAACTCCATCTCAAAAAAAAAAAAAAAAAAAAGAAAAAGTGGCCTAAGCTGGAATATTTGTTGCTGGTAGAATGAGCACACACTACCTGGAGGAGTAGAAGTAGAGCCTAGTCTTCTGAAGATTAGTCACCTTGAGATTTGGGTCCGTGGGGTCTTCAGTATTTGAACTCGAGATAGATAAGAAAGCAAAATAGACACTCTTTTATTTCTGTCATTTGGTCAGATTCAGGTTTAAATAATTAATTTGGTTCAGTATCTTAAGCCCTTAACTTTGGGGTTACTGTACTGTCTAGCAAGGTCACCTGGCTGTGGAGAAAGCCCTGAGCATATAGTTAGAAAACTGAGTTTTAGCCCTGTTTTAACTGTTTGTGTGTTGTGTGACGTTAGACATCTTGGATTCCTTATTTTTCATATATCACATAATTTTGGAGTATGTCATGGACATTTGAATATTTTGTTAGAAGACTGGATGCTGTTAAAATTCTCTGGAAAAATATTTTTAGTTTTTTGGTTTTGCTTTAGCGGGCAGTTAACCTGGTTAGGTTCAGACTGCCTCTGTGGGCTGCGGATCCAATTTGAACTTAGTTTTCAAAACCTTTGTATTGCCGTTCAGGTCCCAGGTGTGCCATCCGTGCCATTGTGCAGTTCTCAAAGCCTTTGCTCTGCAGTCTTGGGTCAGTTCCACACATGGGCATCTTGGTGGTAAACTTGAGATTGTATACACAAATGTGGAGGACTTTTCTCCTTTCCATGATATCCCTTGTACACAAGCTCCCAAGAGTTTCTTTTCGTGGTTCTTTAGTGAGAAAACTGGGATTTTAGCTTCTTCGTGCGCTCATACGTTTTCTGTGGAGGGGCTCATTTCCTGGACAAAATGGAGAGAGAGAAAAATTAAGAGAAAAAAATAAAATGAATTCCCTCCTCCATACTCTTCAGATCATCATCTTTTTCCTAGTTCTTTTGTCAGAAGAACTTTCTTTAAGAGTTTAGGAGACCACTACCAGCCACAGGTGTGCAGACTCAGAATTGGAACTTGCTTTGAGGCAGAGCTGAGAGAGAAGAAAAATTACCAGGTATCCACCCCTCCCCATTGTCCCTCTCCCATTCATCGTCTTTTCTGGTTCTCTATCCAGAAGGAGTTTCTCTTGAAACTTTTCTCTGTCTCCACTCACTGCACAGTTAGATTTGGGCTGTCCTCAAGTCTAAGCTGACATTTGTGGGAGGAAAAAAACAGGAAACTCACTACTGTTTGAGTTTTGATTTCTCTTCCCAGTCTGCTTGCTTCAACTTACTTTTCAGCGTCCTTGTATGTTTGCTTTATGTGTTCTTTCCAGGATTTTTAGTTGCGATCAACGGACAAGATAGGGTGGAGTGTGCATTCTCCATCTTAGCTAAAACTGGGACCCCATCCCCCACTCGTAAAATATAAATAATGACTTACAGCATGGCACATTAGATGGGCATTAGAGACACCAGGGAAGCTATCACAAATACAAATGTCCAGGTTGCATTTCCAGATAATTAAGTCTTTCAGTAGTGGGATCCAGGCAACTATATTTAAAAGTTCTCTAGGTTCTTGCTATGTGGGTTGTGGTCTGAGGACCACATACATGGGGATCATTAGGAAACTTGTGAGAAATGTAGACTCAGGTTCCACTCCAGACCTGCTGAATTGGAACAAGGTCTCCAGATGATGCCTATGCACAGTAAAATTTGAGGAGCACTGCCCTAGCATGCTTCTAGTGTGCAGTCAATGTCGAGGACCACTGTCTTAGACGATTGCATAAAAGCAGGTGACGTGTATAAATTAAGATTGTAATATTCTCTATGAGTATAAACTCATTAGGTGCAAGCTGAGCTCACCCTCCCTGTTTTCTGTGTTCCTGGTTAAAGTAAGTTACCTTTGATTAGAACCACAGGTTCATCTTTGACTTCAATTCAGATTTGTTGCTATTGAAGCTAATTGGATCCCAGCTCACCTTTGTGACTTGGATTCACACCATACAAAATCTTCAACAGACCTTCATTCCTTTGTTGAGCACACACAACCTTCTAACCTGAACCTCCAATTTTCTAAATTCATTCTTTTTCTACTTCACCTGAAACCACAGATCCATAGCACTTAATTTCTCTGTAACAGCAACTCTAACATAGTGTCCAGAAATTTTAGCCCCTACTATCAAGGACAAAAAGCATCCTTGTACGTGTTTGTACATCTTTTTGAGTAGGAGTTTTCCACCAGTTGCAGGGATTCCCTGAGTCTAGAGTAATGCCAGAATGCTGCCCCCTTTTACTCCGTTCTAAGCATTGCTGGCAGGGAGAAGACTCAGATTAAATTGTTCACTTCAACATTTTCCTTAGATACTCTCTTAGAAAAGTTGTATTCTGCACACTTCTGTTATGAAGGGAGTAAGGGATTG